ATTACATGAATCATATTATTTTGTGAAATAATTGAAGCTAATTTATAAAAAAGAGGTTTAAGTATTTCTACAATATTTACTATAAATGTCGCCACCAACGTCAGTCAAATCCCGTTTTCGAGTAAGACTAAAATTTTAGTAACCGCGGTCAAGTGCTGTTTATCTGCCACTCGCCCAGAAAAAAAACAACACGAACTTCTATAAATATTATTTGGCTGCGGCAATTCATTCGCTCAAAATTAATCTTAAGCTTTCGTTATTATGAGGAAATACTAATGAAAACAACACTCGAGTTGAGCTTGAGCTTTTTATTGGTTCACAGAAGTCACATGATCCCACGTTGACTTGGGTGATCGACGTGACGGCCATTTTTCTGTCAGTGTTTAACATTTAGCTTGAAACTATTTTGATATTATATAGTTTGGGTATATATTTTACGTTAGTGTAGTGGCGTCATGGTACTGTGTAGTCCACGGTAGCGTCAGTTATGCTACACGCTGACAGAAACTGTGCTCGCCACCCAGAATGTCTCACCCGCTGTCGCTGGTCAGTGTGTTTGCAGCCATGTTGTTCTCATTCAATTTTCACTTCCGGGACTCGTAATTTCACCTTACGTCTCCGTTTTACAGCTGTAGTTTTGTAGCAGCGCGCCATGGACTTCATTTCGTGTTAATCGTCTATTTACCGTTAAGGTCATTGTCCCTCGGAGTCGGAGCTCTTTGCTGACAAAATAAGTACGTACATTTGTGTATTTCTTCAAGGTTAGACTTCGTTCTCGACAACAACTGGAACAAGACTGAAGTATTACCGAACATTGGGTTAACATATCATAATTTACACTGCTGTAACAGTAATACGTGAATATCATCTGTATTATTCAAAATTGAGATGGATCCAGGTGTAAGGGACGACTCGGATGTAAGTGAAACTGTAGTAGTCAATGAAGATGCCTGTCATAGTAACGAAGGCAGCGAAAATACTGAATGTGTGGACAATAATGGCGTGGATGGAAACAACGCTGATTCACTTATTGATATGATTGACACTGAGCTAAATGACAAGGATTCTATAATCAGTGGTGACGGGGAAGTTGAACTTGGAGCAGAGAAACCCAATAGTGAGATAAACAAACCAGAAAATAGCCAGAGTACTGTACCAGTTATTATAACCAGTTGTGAGAGTGATTCTGAAAATAACACTGATGAGACTTGTGTTAAACAGACTAATGATGGGACGCAGTCAACTACAGAATTGAAAACAAGTTGTGAGTCTGAAGATGATCACGGTGATCAGGCTGCCACTACAATAGAAAGTAATGACACAGATTCTATAATGTGCAGCAAGGAAGTTGAACTTGAAGTAAAGGAACCCAATAGTGAGATAAACACACAAGAAAATAGCCAGAGAACTGTACCAGTTATTATAACCAGTTGTGAGAGTGATTCTGAAATTAACACTGATGAAATTGGGATGCAGTCAACTGCAGAGAAAAAAATTAGTGACGAGTGTGGAGATGAACACTGTGATCAGGCTGCTACGACAACGGAAAATAGTGACACAGATTCTGTAATCAGTAGCGGGAAAATTGAACTTGAAACAGAGAAACCCAATAATGAGACAAATATACCAGACAATAGCCAGAGAACTGTACCAGTTATTATAACCAGTTGTGAAAGTGATCCTGAAAATAACACTGATAAGACTTGTGTTGAACCGAGTAATGATGGTACGCAGTCAACTACAGAATTGAAAACAAGTCGTGAATCTGAAGATAAACATGTTGAACAAGCTGCCATAACAACAGAAAGTAATATTACAGATTGTACCAGTGTGACTTGTAATGGACAGCAAGAACATACTATAACCAATGCCAGTATTGAAATTGAACACCAAAATACTGGTGCTGCTAGTGAATCATCGAAAAATGCTTGTGTTGTAAATGAACAGCAGCAGCCGGAGTTGGAAAAAACAGTTGAGACAGAACGGTTGCAGCAGTGTGCTGATGTCGTTTCAGAGATGAGTGCCTCTGATCTTTCACAAACTCAGCCTGATAGCGAAGAAGGTTCGCTTTCTGAAATGTCTGTGGAATCGGATTTTCTTGCAACTGGAATGCTACCTAATGGACTGAACAGAGATATGGCCATTTCTCAGTTACCTGAATACAAAGAATTACTTGAAAAATGTGAAACAATGTACAAAAGGTGTGAAGAACAACAACAACACATTCAAAGGTGGGTAATTATTTAGTGAACTTGATTAACCTTTTTATTGATCCACATCAGTATTGATTCATCTCGTTAAGAAAACAATGAATCATCTACCAAAGTATTGATATGTAAGTTAAAACACAAAGGTGTCTAGAAATGTACCAAAAATAAAATCCCTGCTTGTTGGGAATAGACAACTACATGTAGTATAAATTATAACCCTTTGAACAGCAAAGTCAACTATTACTAACTTGTATTTGTGCTTTTCACAAAATAAACAGCATGATTTAAAAAAAAAACAACATGTTTGATCAAAAAGTGTCAAAAAATACTTCATTGCCGTTCATGTACCGATAGCATTCAAATACCAATGTTTTACGTTAGCGAGCAATTTTTTTAGTCAGTTAGCAATTTTGCTCTGAGAAGCATCCAGTACTGTGGTGCCGACAAGGTTGTGTATGAACATGACAAACCAGTGCATCATTAACATCTACCTAATTATATACCAGACAGTGGACTTTGCGATATCAACTATATCTGTTATCTCTTTCACGGAATGATCACCTCCTGGGGCAGGCTAAAAACTTTAATATGATTGCATCTCTGTTTTCTTGAGAGGTGTTTGAAACTTTGCACTAAAATCTGTTTAGAATATTCCATTGGAGAGAAAACAGTTTGTAGAATTAAAGAATAAAATTGTATTAGCCAAAATAGAAACAAGAAACATGTTTCATATATGTGGAACAGCTGTTTTTTTTATTGTATAACAAAAACATAAATATGACATAGTTTTGTTATCAATGATTTTTAAAAGGCTGTAGTGGTTTACACCTTAAAATAATGGTATCTTCCATAACCCTTATGATCGTGCTGATGAGAAAAATCCATGTAGTGGTGTTTCAATTTTAAAAGCATGCACTGTATGCTTGTCTGAAAGCAAAATTGCTAACTGACTTACAAATGTGTGGCGGTAATAAAATGTGCAAAATGTTTCATTTTGGTGAGGAAATTCACCCTGTTCATTATAGGGGTTAACAATGAAGTACCGGGTATCTACAATATTTAATTTATTAATGAGTACATGGTACATGTAGTTAGTAGGGACAATCAAATAAATAGCAGTAATAATAATATATTTAGTGTGTCTATAAATTACTTATATCCACTGAAATGTTTGTTTATCGTTAATATGCCACTACACTTTATTTTCATTAAGTTTTGTCCTGTTAACTCATTAGTTGTAATAACAATGCATGAATGTTGGTGTTATGGCTCTTGGTGTGTTAATGCTATTTGTACTTTCTCTCAACTCAGTTTAATGCCTGGCCATATCCATAGTGCTTTTTAGGAACATTTTTTAATTAATCTAGTTTCGTAAAATTGTTGTTGATATGTAATCCGTTTATTTGCTGTGTATTAGATGGTATACTGCACTGTTTAATAAATTAGGTATTCCGGGTTTTTAAATACCCATCTACCACACAAGTACCTAAAAATTCCACTTTAGCATTTCAGATGACATGATTTCGTCTCGCATAACTGGACACCAAAACACTATTTAATTAGATCAATTATTTCTAACCTTTGCTCAAATGTGGTGAAAAATGCTCTAATTAACGGCAAAGTAAACATGCATTATCAGTGACCTAAAACTGACTTCTGTTTTTATATTACAATTTAATTAAAGTCCAGCATTGTAATACCATGAATAAACTGAACTATTGAACCTTTGATCAATTTACATCTTTCATGGCACTGAGGTATATGTTTTTGGCCTCCATTTTTTCATGTTTACTGTACTATATATAACTAAAATCAAATCAAATATGAATTCCATATCGAGCATAACAATAGCTTGGTAACTCTTACAGCTAACCACATTCTCTGATTGCTTGTACTATTACTGTATCTCCATGAACTCACTCCTACGATTGCGATATAATATGAAACATGGGTGCATCAGATTAATCCACAATTCATGTTAATTTGCATAATAATTATCTGATTCATAGATTACCTAATTTGCATAACAATTATTGGATTTTCCAGGTACATTTTGGCTATGGTATTACATAGACCCTCCTCCTCTACTGGAGGGTCTATGGGTATTAACATTTTACTTCATGCAGATCAAAGTATTAGTGAGAAATTTGAAAATGCATGTCAAAAATATGCTAACAAGACGATTTTGGGGATTATATATTTGACAAAACTGTCAAAGAACAAAGGAAATAAATAAATAAAAAAATAAATAATAAAATGTTCCCTGTCAAAACAAAATTGTTACAAATGTACCTGTCAGGTAGCTGGCTAATACATGTACATTAATGACCTGAAGTTAATTTTAAACCACTGTTGGAAAAAGTGCCAACAGATTACCAACCTGGTCTTGAGGGTTAGTCAGAAAGCTACTCTCGACTACACTATCCCTTTTGCATTATAGAGGAGGAGAGAAACCTACTGTTTAATTAATTTTGGATAAACAATAGTGATTAACATATTTTATGCAAATTAGCTACTATTTAAATTCCCAGCCCGTATTCAAAATACAAGGCCTGGTACATGCTGGATTAGTCTAACCATGTGATCAGCAAATCTTGTATCTGATCAGATTTTCTACCCAGAGACTGGAATTTGTCAAATCAGATTAAGCTCACCATCTGAACATGTTTAATTAAATGTTAATACTGTAGAATACTTTATTTTTGCTTGGAATTTATTTTCGCTATTTTCGCTGAAGGCATGATTCCGTGAAAATAAAATCCAGCGAATATACTTTTTTTCCTATATTTTACATTAAACTCATCAAAAATCAGTGAAAATAAATTCCAAGCAAAACGCCCAAAAAGCCTTTTCAGTGAAAATTAATTCCAGCGAAAATAAAGTATTCCACAGTATATTTGTAGACAGAATATCTTATGTAGTGAAAAGTTGGACATAATAAACAATCCATAATACGGTTTACTGTATTTTTCTATTGAAAGTCTGCATAAATCTAAAAAGTACATTTGTTGTTTACTGGATTGGGAAAACATGACATTTTATACTAAAGAGCATGCGTTACTAATGTGGCAAATGCAGTATCAATTTAAGTCAGTGATTTTGTGTGGTGAAAATAAACACAAAATTATCTTTATTAAAAACAATCTGTTTAACAATTAAAAGATGTCTTGTACAATAATCAGTAGTGTCATCATTTAGTAAAGTATATCATTTAACACTAAATAACACGATGAATTTCATGAAAACATTACTGTTTTTTATGGAAATATTTAAAACATTCACCCTGGAAAACCCTTCAAAGAATACATTATCATCCTGTATAAGCCATTCTATAACCTCCCATTACCATTAGTCTGTTAACATCTTGTGATTGGCCGTTTTCAACCTACTGAAATTTAAAAAAAATAAAACATCTTGAAATTCACTTTACATTATATAAATTATTTGAACTGATAACAATTTTAAATTTAAAAAATGACATAAATAAATTTGCTTGTGCATGCCTAATCATTGCAGTATGCATACTTTTTCTATATTTGCAATAGGCTTCAGAAGTCAGGTCAAGAGAAAAACAGAGAATTACAACTTGCCCACCAAGCTGCAAATACACTGAGATCAGACATACAGAGAGTACAAGCCAAGGAAAGCTCTACTATTGAAACATATCAAACCACTGTTAAGCAGGTGAGTGGTTTTTGTCATGTATTACTTGTTAATGTACCTGGGTGTGCCACAGTAGTTAGCGTATTTGTCTCGCATCAGGGCGATTGCGGGTTGGATCCTCCAGCCGACTGATTACTCAAACTTGCTGGTTGGAAGTAATGCCGTCTTATTGTATGGAGACGATAATCATGGTCCAATAATATTCTAGCTTTTCTGTCCTCTGTAGATGTTAAATTATCAGGCATCCTCATCGCAAAAGAGTAGCAGATTTCAAAAAAAAATGATTTGCTTTTTTCTCTCATGTCAGCTTATCTGTAATTTAGGCTCTTAGTATCTCAGTAATAAACAATTTATGTATAAAGATGTGCTTCAGTGTACATTTAATTGTCAGACCAATGTGAGAAACGATGAAGTCAATTTAATATAATGGAAGTAATATTACCTCTTATATCAGCATCTTGGGTGTGCTTAAATTGAAGTTATTGTTCTCATCATTTTCATTTACTGTTTACTTGATTCACAAATCAGAATTATTTCTGATTTCAAATATCGATAACAGCAATAGCTGAAAGACAACGAGACATTGTTTTACATAACAGTGCTTCTAATTCAACCAAAAACAGTTATTTTTAGTCCTTTGGACCAACGGTCCAACGGACTAATGCTATCACAATTTGTCAGCCGTAGGCCGTAAGCCGTCGGCCGTAAGCCGTAAGCCGTAGGCCGTAGGCCGTAGGCCGTGTGCTGTAGACAAAGATATCTCAAAAACCCTTCAGTCTATTTTTCTGAAACTTGGCATTATGATAGCTTGTGTGAATATCTCCAGGGCATTTTTTTTTTATTTGGCTTGAATCATTTTAAAATTACTTTTTGGCCCAAAAACCTTCCAAAATCAGGCTTTTCTAGTGTAGGTAATCTCTGTCCAATTATCATACATGGTGAGTGGCACAATTTGCATAGTAAAATTTTGCGTTATTTTTTCTGATACACACTTCTCTTATCAAATTGTAGTTTCATAATAAAGAATGTATATTATTTGATGTGTTCATGTATGTTGTGATGGTTTATCGCATAAATTATTCGTTTAATGATAGATTAAATAGTACTAATTCGAATTTATCACGCATGCGCAGTTACGCATAAAATCACCATTGGACGATATGGCAGTGTGATTTGATGTCTCAAATTTCGCTATGAAAATTAAAGTATAATAATTTGTTTTGATAGAATACAATGCGTGATGTGTATTTGTGATTACATGGGCGCTG